CTGGGTCTCATCAGCGTAACAGTGAGAATTAATCCCATGCTGTCTAATAATTCTACCGATTGGGAGCATATATAAAGTAAAGAGAATTGGTCCTAGCACTGATCCCTGTGGTACTCCACAGGTACTGTAACCTTTGAGCATGAGGAAGATTTGTCATTAACTTGAACGAACTGAAATCGATAAGATAGATAAGATTAAACCAGTCTAGTGCTCTTCCTATCATTCCAACAAAATATTCAAGTCTTTCTAAAAGAATATTGTGGTCAACTGTATCAACTGCAGCACTGAGATCCAACAGGACGAGCACAGATACAAGTCCATTATCTGAGGCTCTAAAGCCAGACTGAAACTCTTCAAAAAGTTCATTATGGTGTAAGTGATGACACACTTGTTTGGCAACTACTTTCTCAACAATTTTAGATAAGAAAGGATGATTGGATATAGGTCTATAATTGACCAAGTCATCTGGGTCAAGGGACAGTTTCTTAGGCAAAGGTTTAATTACAGCAACCTCAAATGCCTTTCATACATATCCCTGTAACAGGGATGGATTAATCACATCTAAAATGGAGGAGGAGATCAAAGGGAATACCTTCTTATATAACCTGGTCGGAACTGGATCTAACATCTAAGTTGGAGGCTTAGATGAAGACAAAAGTTTTGCTAACTCTGAAAGTTCAACTGGATCAAAGCAGTCTAAACCCGGTTCAGATTCCATGACTACCTCAGATGCTGTCTCACCCTCCAGAGAGAAACCAATTGCGGATAGAGGAGTGATGATGTTATTTTTAATAAGATCAATCTTATTTATAAAGAATCCCATAAAATCATTATTTCTAAGAGCAGGTGGAATGGACAGTTCAACTAAGCTATGGATCTGGGTGAGTTTGGCAACTGTATTAAAAAGATATCTAGGATTATTCTTATTCTCCTCTATTAATGAGGAGAAATATGCTGCTCTTACTTTACAAAGGGTCCTCTTATACAGGAGTAAACTATTTTTCCAGACTAGGTAGGATTTCCCGTAGGCCTGTGGAGCGATATTTTCTCACCAGTTTCCTGTCATTTTGCTTCAAAGTGTGCAACTCTGCATTAAACCAAGGAGCCAGCTTTCTATTTTTAACGGTTTTCATTTTCAAAGGGGCTGCATTGTCTAAGGCAGTACGCAGAGAACTAGCAATCCCATCAACAAAATCATCAACCTGTGAAGGGGAATAAACTACCGTATGCTTTTGCACTCTGCAGCACTGCTCAGCGACACAGAGGAGAGAGAAAGTGAAACAAAACTTGAAGGAGTTGCCTCATTTATGCTTACATAATCCTCCTGCTGCAGCCAGGTTTCTGTAAGGCAACATAAATCAATGTGATTATTACAAATCCAGTCATTAATTAGCAGACTTTTAGAGGAAAGAGATCTTATATCAAACAGACCACATTTAATCGTTATTTTAATTAGGTTATCATGATTTACTCCTTTTGGAATCTTTGCTAATTTATTTGATTTTGGTTGTGGGCAAGACACCGTCTGGATGGAGTAAACAGTGGGTAACAGTAGAGAAGCTGCAGAGACGTGTGTTAAACTACCGTACGACTCTGCTTCCTGGTCTGCACCCTGGGTGGTCAGGGTTTTGGAGGACTAATAAATGTGGCCGGATTCCTAGAAAGAAGAGCTACACCATCCAAAGTGGGATGGATGCTGTCTCTCCGAATCAGACAAGGCTTTCCCCAAAAGGATTGCCAATTATTAACGAGCCCACGTTGTTTTCAGGACACCACCTAACCAGCGGTTGAATGACGACATGTCACACACTACTTGGCATGGAACTTGTAACTAATGATTGTTTTTCCTTTTTGCCATAAGAGTTACATGCCATTCTAAAAGCACAGGACAAAAACATTTTGCATTGATTAATTGATCAATTCTCTGAATGGAGCAGTTTATACAATCATAATAAAGAAAGCATTTAAAAAAAAAAACCTTTAAAAAATATGCAATGTTGAGTTCCGGCAGAGATAAACATCCTTTTGTTTTCTTTATAGGCTACCTGCGTACTTTTTTGGCAAATGTGACTACTCATTTGAAGGAAATATTTTAACCAATTAACTTTGCAATTTACCTAGAAACATACACACAAACCCATGTGCTTCATAAGATCTCCATATTTTAATACACATCTTAAGCAAGAACATTTAAGCAGAAGATTAAACATGACAGCCCAAAAAAAACCTATTTTTTATGCAGTATGCAAACATTTGTCACAGATGAGAAAAAATGTTTTAAAGGTTAATGAAATATTGGTATCCAAAGGACAATATACAAACAGCACAAAGTGCTGAGAAATTCAATGTTATAAAAACACCTTAAAAGACAGGATTTAAAGAGTTGATCTGCAGCGAAGCTTTATTTAGCAAGACATTATATCCTTTTTTTCAACAGTGATTTAAGGGCTCCTAAACTGCCCCCTGAACCACAGACCACCAAACCTACAATATTTGCAGCTACGTCACACAATGATCTGCATTAAAATCAATTTGCTGAATTTAAAGATGATGTAAGATAGCTTCTGATTTTTTAAGATATACATGGTTACTGGACAATGCTTGTCTGCTTTACATTTTACACTAATTTTATATCTACATACTGTCTAAATGCTAAAGTAATTTAATGTTAATAGTAAAGTCATCTATAATCTAAAGTACATCTACTTTTCTAGATTCAAAGAAATATCAGCGAAAGTCTTAAAAAGGGTCATGGAGTCATGCCCTTCCTCTCTTCCTGCAAACATACCTTTCTCCAGGAGTTGACCACTTTTACTTAACTTTAGTTGGCTACTTCCATTGTATCCTCACTAAAAAACGCCTGTAGGGTTTTTCCCTTAGAGATATATTTGATGCTCTCAATTTCCCCACCACTGTTGTTTGGTTTTTGAAAATGAATTTCAAGGTGGTCCTGCAAGTCTTCCTCATCCTCCACATCTTCAATGCCTTCCAGAAGAATGGTTCGCTTGGATGAGCAACAAGATGTCTGAAATAAATGACAGAAATAAGATTGTCTTGCGTAAAGGAAGTTAAATATGCTGCAAAATTGAAACATTTCAAAGCATTAATTGATTATAGTGTGAAGTTATGGAGAACCATAGATAGTGGGAAGCATGGAGAACCTGACTTTATCCCCATTTTTCCACAGCGTCCAAAAAAGAAAATGGCAGCTTTAGACAAATAAAAATATGATTATGCACCAAATTATAAGGCGCAGGTCTTCTTGATTCCTCACTTCCATACCATTGATCCATTAATGCTGAATTCTCTCGCAGTTGCTTTTTTTCCCATGTTCTACTGTTGACTGATAGCCTTACATTTGAAGTCCATGTCTCTTGGCAGGTGCCATTATGGGGTCCTTATACAAAGACTGTAATATTATTTTGAAGCAAAGAATGTGCTCCCGACTACAGTAGCCATAATACTATAAGCACTGTGGCTTTATAGTTTGAAAATGTATACTAAAACTTTTTGACAGAGCACTGTGTAAGTCATAAAGTTGCTTTGAGGTTCAAGTACAGCCATAATTAATCCATCTGTAAGTCACTCCAGATTATAAAGCACACTGCTAATATTGAGAAAATAAGCATTTTAAGTTCCCTTATAGTGCAGGAAATACGGTTAATAGTGCAATCATTATAGCAAATACAGACTGTGTATGTTAATTGATTCTGATTTGGAATGCCTCTCCTTAGGAGGTCATCTAACACGGCTTGATAAATTGATAAACACTTTGGACTTGAAAAGGACTTTTATACCAATAAAATAATCAGTTTGGACTCAAGCTGTTTAATTTGAAAAATACATGCGAGTTACAATGAATCCAACCTGTAGCATGAATATTGGCGAATTACTACTCCTCCTCATCTGATAAGAGCTAAGATTATACTGAACAATAATACTGCTTTAACCATCCATTCTGTATAGTTTGAAAGAAAACATTTACAGTAATGAATGGTTGAAAAGAATATCGATATTAAGCACTGATCAAACTAAACAGAACCTTTAGTAAGATGAGCGTATTGTGTCTTACCTGAAACTTTTCCAGCTTGTACTCATATGCTGGTCCAACTTCTACTTTAACCTCAGATTTCAGATTTATTTTGTACATTCCTTTCATGGCCAACTTCCCAGCAACTACACCAATACACAAACACACACAAAAAGACAATATTTCAGCATTAAAACATAATTTGGTTTAATAATATTTTGTCAATATGTCAGGCTCTTTAAAGTATGTTCATTTGTATTCACTCAAAACTTGGTTGGGGCTCCTTATGCGTAAACTGCTGTGGTGGGACTAGAGGATAAGCCTGTGGTTCCATTCAGACGTAATGGAAGCCCAGGCTGCTCTTAAAGTGGCTTCAGGTCTCCCATATTGTTGAATCTGGTGCTTTTTATTTTCTTGACAAGAGCCCAAGGATTCTCTCTGGAATTTAGCTCTGGCTGATTTGCAGACCATTGATAGACAATTACAGGAGATTTACTTGTGGAACAATATTCTTTTCTTTCTCACTCCATGTTCCTCTACAGGCTCAATTGAAAGCACGGCTACTTTATATTAAAATATTGTTAAATCTGCTTTGGTTTGTATTTACGGTGGGTCTGGTGGGTATCATAGAGGTAAATATAGCTCTTCCTGTATTAATGTCTGTGGGGAAGAAAGTTAGCTTTTCCATGTTTAATTTTCCTTTAGTCTTTATATTGTCTTCAACTATCCACGTAGGGCCCTCTCTGGATTCCTTGAAGGTCCTGACCATTTTCCTATTACCTGGATTTAAAGTCCTCAACATTATCTAGGGAGCTGTTACCTGTCATGCAGACTTCAAAGTAAATGGGGAACAAATGACACACAGCATTTATGGTTTTACTACAGCAGTATTTCACTTTGGGATCTAGAGGGCGGAGAGAGAAGGGGGTGAAGTGAAGAGTCATACCTCCAGGTTTCAAAAAAACGATGGTCCCCGTTCCTGTGTTGACGTCATAATCAACACTCTCCACTTCTCCACCTCCCCTGCTTGGTTTAGAAAAGCTTATTTCCAGGCGGTCCTTCACTCTGTCCTCTGACATTGCAGGGGGGATGTCGAATACTTTGAGCTCTTTTCTGGAAACATCCAACTTTACCTAAACAGATAATACATAATTGTTGCCAAAAGCTACAGTTTGATAAAAAAAAGTACTAGAGTTTAAAAATGAAACAATATTCTTTACTGTTTAATATCTGGACAGATGGTTTTATACAGACTCTGTTTAGATTTCTTTGATCCCAAAAAACAGAACAATTGTGGCTATTTAATCAATGTAGTGAGACCTGTATGTGTTATGTGACCTTCAAAGATATTTCATGTTGGTCTACAATAAATAATCTAAGTATAATGAGGTGAAAACAATTAAATCGAAACCAAAAGGGTAAAAAAACAAAACGGACATTAGGTAATCCTAATTATGTTCCACACCCTTTATGATTACGCCACAGTTTAGACCTTTGTCCCTCTTTTCTACAGCCCAACAGGTCAAGCAACAACAAAGAAACCCTTTTACATAGTAGATAAATGCCAACTGTCAGTTTTCTAAGCTGAACCATTACAGCGCATAACAGCTCTAGAGTCCCCTCTAGATTCAGCAGTAACACAGGGAGGAATATGTTTGACTAGTCATAATAAAAGATCAGTGTTTGGAAATTAACACTTGAGTCCCTAAAATGTCTCTTCTAGTGGATATATTATTTATCTGCTTTGTTCTGACCCATTAATACATTACGCTCCAAAACTCCTGCTTTAAAACTATCACAAATTCAATTAGGTTTACAGTTAATTATAATTGAAGTTCTTTTCATCAGTTCATGCTTTAATATAACTCATGTTTCCAAACAGCACAGGGAAATTGGCAGCACACCAAATTTTTCTCCACCAACTGTTGACTGAACTTGTTTCTTAATGATATTTTTATTGTGGATTAAACCAGCTCTGTTCACATCATTATCAGATAATGTGAAAGATCAGGAAGTAAACAGAAAGAAAAATAAGTCTGAGTTTGTTTAAACTAACTACACAGTTCTAAAGATCAAATATTTGATTGAACCCACAAATTGGATTGGAGGGACCGAAAAGTTAGGTACTTTGGCTTGGCAAATAAACATGGTTCCCTATTTAAAAAAAATCTTATAGAGCTAGAATTCTCTCAGAGGCTTTAGTAAAATCAGTTCTCAGTTTTGGCAGTTGTAAAAAATTAAAAATGCAATTGTTCTACACATTTTGGATTAGACCATCACTAAACCAATGTTGCATCTTTAACTTTGGGGAAAATGTGAAATTAATGCAGCATTTAACTGCTTCTTTTGCCTAAGAATACCTTTATCTATTATAATAATGATCCATGCAAAATGTTTAATCTGCACAAAGATAGGCTTTTATCCTTAAAACTGTTAAATCCATTTGAGTGTCTTTCTAAACTTTGCAAATATCAATCAGTTAAGCATCGAAACCTTAAACCAGGTCAGCCTGGGTACCTTAACCTCAGCTTTCAGATCAAATTAGTTCCTGAAACTATCTCTGAACATGTCTATTTGCCTTTATGTGTTCAAATTTGTATCTGACCTACAGTGTTATTTTAAGTTATCATAAAGTTATGTTTTTAGTATATCATTTATGAATTAGTGAAATATTACTTTCCAAAGTGGATAATTATCTATTAAACTAGAAATCTTTGGGAAATAAAATAAAGTTTTACTGAACCTCTTGATGGTATTACTTTATTTAAGACAAAAGTAGGTCTATATAAAAAAAAAAACTTGACTGATATTACTGGGATATATCTTTTTACAGTAATATCTGCATAATCTCTCTGCTATGTTGGGTTTTTCCAAATATATAATTATGGTCCCAGCCCAGCGCTGCTAGATGCACACTGCACTGATGCTGAATGATACCCTGATCAGTATCTGGGAGGAGACACCCCAAGACCTCATACAATACACACTCCAATGTTGTCAGGCGTTCATACAAGCACATGGGAACCATACAAACTACAAAAACTGGACCAGCCAAACACATCCATCTTTTAGCTTATCGTGGGTTGATCGTTTTATATCAAATGATACGGTATCCATTTCTTCCTACCAATAGTGTTGATATCCATCAGGGATTTTTTCAACCGAGGTCTGATGTATATTAAAAGTGTTGCTTCTTTGGATTCCTCTTATTTGTTTGGAGTAGTGTATAAATTAGATTAATTCAAATTAATCACATATTAAACCGGGAGTTTAATACCAAACCAGTTGTAATTTTACTCAACTGACTGAGGTAGACTTAATGGTCCCAAAATCTTATATGTATAAGCGAAGTACATTAGCTGTAGCTTGTGACTAAACATTTAAAAACAAAAGAGATTCTGAAATCATTAAGTTTAAAGTAAGTTAAAAAAAAAGGGAACAAATTCTGAAATCATTAAGTTTAAAGTAAGTTAATAAAAAGTGAACAAAATGAACAAATGCACTCTTAAATTTTTAGATATTTTGAAAAATATACAACCAACCCTACTTTTGATCAAAACGCATTGAAAAACCCAGAGAAAGATGGTCCTTTTGTTTTAATTTTTATATATTTTACTTCTTTTTGGTGATTTTTCTTTTAACATGTTTGTTCGGTTTATTTTGGTTTAAAAGCACTCAAGAAATATTAAACAAATCATCGGTGTTTTTTTTTTTTTGTTTTTGTTTTTTAAAGGTAAACTGTAAAAAAAAAGTACCTCAAATTTCACAGCAGTATCCAAGCTGATGCCTTTGGGTTTCACATCCAAGGTGGTTTTCTCACAGGACACGCGGCAGTTGGCCAGCCTCAGGATTTGATGAGCAACTAAAAAGAGGGCAGCATGATGGAAAACATTTTATTTATAAACTTAGTGAGAAAACACTGTTTCGTGTTTAATAAAAGGTTGAAAGAGTCAGTAGAATCACATGATTTTTTTCTACTTTTGATAAACCATCTTTACTGTCTTAGTAATTAAAACTAATATCTGTCATCCTGTCAGGCTGAAAATTCATCAGTGCAAAAATAATCACCAAGATAAAACATTGCAAACAGATTTTTTTTTAACAATAAAAATACATTCTACTATGAATGAACCATGTTTTATAAAGGAAATACAGCATAGCAAATCTATTTCTTGTCCATCTACTTTCTTTTACCTTGATTAAATCCATTTTTTTCACTGCATGAATCCGATCCCATCAGTATTTAACTAAATGCACATGTGGGATAATGAGATAACTCCCACAGAACGCATGCTGCGGCTGTGTTTTTAGGAGTTTGTGTATCTGTCCATCTGTGCACAGGATAACTTTAAAAAGTTATGAACGAATTTTAATGACTTTTTTTTTACCAAAGGTGCACCTTAGTAAAAGGAACAATCAGTTACATTTTGTTGATGATCTGGATCACCATTTGGATCCAGCATTTTTTGAAAGAATCAATGAATCCAGGTTTTAACTTAAGGAGGGAAATCACAATATATAGGGGAGACGTGCTTCTTGGCGGAGGTCTGCGCTCTCTGACTGCTTTTCTATGAATGACCTGTAGCTGGGATTTATTTTCTTAGTCTATTCTCTTAAGAAGCATCAACATTTTACAGAAAACTGCCAATGATGGAGTTAAGTAATCTGTGCTGTTCCTGAACACTTCTGTGTAATGGGCTTAATCTGTATCAAAGGCACATTTTAAAAACATGTTGATGAATTAGACATGGAATGGGGTTCATATTTTACAAATGTAGCTTCAGAGGGAGTGTAGGGAGAAGCTTTGCTCACTGTGTGAGAAACCTGTTCCCTTTCAGTTAACATTAACTCTTCTTCCTCCTCTAGGGCAGGCAGTTGACATACACAGGGGGCACATTATGATATCTAGCCCTGGAAAGTTATCTCTTCAGCGTCTGCAACTGACTCTAAACCTGGATGAGATCTAAGGATGTGTTCCTTTCACAGGCCCCCTTTCCCTACTCTGCTGCTCAAATCTCACATGAAACCACATTTATAAGAAAAAAGTAATTAAATCCTGCTTACCTTTCTCTTCCTCAAATGTGATGAGTGCCTGTCCTCCTCGTAGAAGCACTGCACCTCTCTGACTGATGGTAAATACTCCTCTAATGGACTGACCGCTGTCATCTCTATCCTCCTCCTCCCCCTCTGGGACACGAGCCAGAAACTTCACATCTGTCTTTGGAATCTGGGCACAAATCTTGATAAGAAATACAGTTAGTTTTATTACCATCTGTGATAAGTATATTTCTGATATAAATTACTTTTGTTTTTGGTGTTTTTTAATCAGAAACCAGGATCAATATGCTTAGGGAGAATAAGTGACTAAGAACAAGGAATAAACCCTTTAGTTAAAAAAGACTGAAATAGTAGTTTTCATTCTCACCTTGAATCTTTGCTTCAGTTTGGAAGTCTCAGCTCGCTGAGCCTCCAGTTCAGCTTTACTTCTTTTCAGTTTCTCCAGAATATCTTGTTTGCATTTAGACAGCTTCTTGATTTCATCCTTAAAAGTGATCAAATATGCATTATTATTTCCTTCCTCCCAAAAACCTGTCATTGTATAAAAGGTTGGACATACCTGCACCATGTCCAGCTGTTGTTTGAAATCTTTCTGGCAAGACTCCTGTTTTTTAGCAAGTGCCATCATCTCCTGCTGAGCATTTGTCTTGGCGTCATCTGCCTCCATTTTTTCAAGAAGGATTCTGGCCTTGATATCATCAGCTTTCTCCACTTTAGCCTGTATATGCACATAAGCATGTTAGGTGTTTCCACTGTAATTAAGGACTGTGAATTCCCTGCTGTTCATTTTCCATTGTTTTCTACAGCCTAAACCTAAACCTGACTAAAACCCTGAACTTAACTCACAGCAATTCCAATTCCTATAGGCTGGTGTTCTGCAACCTTTAAATGCTAAATGGCTTATATGTATAAATAGCTTTACTTATAATATAACTTTGATCAAGTCAGGAGACTTGAGCAAAGCTCTTTACCTCACTGCTATATACAGGTACCACCAGCCCACCAGGAGAGCTGAAATTATTCATCTGATTAATTATTAATAATCAATTATTTAATAAAATTTTCAACTAATTTAGTAATCAGTTAATCGTTAACTAGAGTGTAGAGACTCTAAAACATGTCTTTAGCTGACACAGCAACCCGACAGTTATACCAAAATAAATTGAAAAATTATACCTTTTGCATTAAAGATAAAAAAAAAACTTTTTTTATCTGTCAGTATGTTCTATCCAGAACTCCTCAAGTGGAAAATGTTACTTTCACTTAATTTCGTAAAGAGTCTCTTTAAGGAACCTTTTGCACCCGATTTGCAAAACGATTAATATGTCGTTTTTTTTTTTTTTTTCGATTAATTGATTTGCAAAATAATCATTAGTAGCAGCCATACCCACTACCATTAGATGTTTCCTCAGCTCAACACCAAAATTATTATTATTATATATAATTATTATTGAATATTAAGAAGACGCTGGATGAAGTGATTGCATACTGAGGAGGTAATTCAGCTATTTCTTTCAGTAGTTGGACAAAGGATGAATCTAGAAGTTGCAGGACACTGACTCTCAAGAACTTGAATTGCCCTCCCTGAACCTAACCCAAACTAAATTTAAATATAAAAAAAAAAAAAATGGCTACCAATACTTTTTATATAAAATGAAATGGTTGTTATTCATGTTTGCTATAGCAGTTTTAAGAGCTGCTATAAAATCTACCCCCTTAGAAGAAAAAAAACAGGTCACAAATATAGCTCTGATTGGTGGAAAGCTGTTGTTTGCGATGTGCACAGCATTCCATAGAGAATGAGAAGCCCTCTGCAGCTGATGCATGGTAGCCATTCCTTCAACCGGCTTCTTACTTTGAGTTAGCAGGTTCTTCTTGTTCCAATATTATGGTGAAACAGTAGACAGTAGTACATGACAACTACTTTAGGCGTCATCGAAATTTCAGAGTAGGTCGGAGTCTTCAACAATAGGGCCTTATTCTTGCTGGAAGGAATATCTATAGTCATGTTTTATTTACAGTGTATAGTAAAGTATGGCCAAACATACAGAAAAGGCTCTATTCTAAGTCTCACTCAAATACCGTTTCTTTACTCTTTAACCACCACCGTTCCCAACAACCTCAACAAGTTGTTACATTCATGCTGATTTTGTGCATTTTCTACCTTAGTCCGTTAAATAACATGCTGCTGTCATTTTGCACATCTCTAATGTTGCTGCTATTTTCAAATATCCATTACTGTAAAAATGTCCATAGCTGCATATTGGTTATTTATTCTCCGGGTGCAGTTTTCATATTGTTAAAACACTTTACAGTAAAGAATTTCAATCTTTCAAACTCTCAACTATTATGTTATGTGATTGTTATACTTTTTTCTAAGGTCCACATTTATGTGGCCATTTTTTATTCTATTCTTTTTGCTGCTGTAACAACAGAATTTCCCCCATTGTGCGACAATAAAGGGATTTTCTGTTCTATTCTACATATCTAGGAAGTAGGAATGCAAAAAGAAAAGTAGAAAGAGAGTACAAAAATAGACAGTAAGAGATTTCATACTTGCTAAATAAAACTTGTACTTGTGTACAAAACCTTTTCACTTGAGGAGTTCTGGATAGAGCAGGCTTGTACTTGTGAAAGCCTAATGACAATAAAGTTGAATTTTATTCTATTCTATTCTAAAACAAACTGAACTGAAATGCTAGAATGAATCATAAAGATACCAAAATATATGGTCATTTGAAAAAAAAAAAAAAATGAATATTAGAATATGCACAATGCATATCAACCAAGTTTGACAGAAAACAGCTGATAAATTGTC